ATAAATAAATTTATTATTATTTGTAATAGGGTTTGTAAAGAAAAAATATTATTGTAAATATTTTTTACATTTATATTTATATAATATTTCATCATTTTTTTTGTTAGATTCAAATTCAAAAATATAAGATTCAAATAAATAATCTTTTAAAAGTTCATAACTAAAGGTAATATATCTAAATAAATATTTTTTTATAACCAAATTATAAAATAGTCTATTTTAATATTTTATGAAATTAATAAATTGATAATAAAGAATATACATATATTCATTATTTTTAAATATATAACTCCTCATATACAAATCCAATTGTTAAGAGGTTTGTCCAAAATTTTTTTTATTGTTGTTTAGAATTAATATTAATTAGAAGTTTATTATTTTTATTATTAATGAACATAAATGTTAATTAATAATAATTATTAGGTTTCAGAAAAAAACAATTTTTTGAATAATGGTTTATAATTAATATTAATATTAATATTAATTACTATAATATTTATTATTTTTTGAAAACGAAGAATTTAATCAAATTAAATTTCTTAAATAATAAAGTAATGATTGAATATTTTAGTCTACAATTAATATCAATTAATATTGCTTCATTTCTATTTATAATTAAAACTAATTTGTTTGTAACTAGAAATTTAATAAAATTTAATCTCTTAATTAATAAAATCATTAATTCATATATAATTACATATTAAAAGTGATTTTAGATTATCACACATTATAGTTTTTTACTAAAAAAATGTTTTTTTATGTTACTCATAATTAATAATAATTGCATAATATTTTTGTATTCTATTTTTTTATGAAAAAATTTAATTTAATTTAATCTCTTAATTATTAATTAATATAATTATTTATATAATTATTATTTTTTAATTAAATATAATTTGAAGCTATTTGTTACTCAATACAAATATAAAAGGATAATAAAAATAATATTATAAAAAAGGTTATATAAATAATATATCATTGTTACTTTAATAAATTATTTTTTCTTCATTTTTCTGCAAAACAAATGGTTACTTATTAACAAATAATTTATAATTCAAGTTCAATGCAGGTAGCAAATAAATTAGATAAAATGTGAGAGAAATTAAAAATAGTAAAAAAAGAAATGAAAAAAAGTAATACCTTCTATTTCTGACAAAGATTATCATGTGAGATAAAAATTAAATAAAGAGCATAGCAATTAAATTAGATAAAATATAAATATGTAATATAAAGGGTTGAGGAGAAAAAAAGAGAGAAGAAATAGTACCTTTTATTTCTAACAAAAATTGCCATGTGAAATGAAAAAATAAACAAAGAGGGTGAGAGATAGATTAGATAAAACGTAAATATGTAATATAAAAGGTAAAAGAGAAAAAGAAAAAAAAAGGAAGAAAAAAATAGTTCCTTTCATTTTTTTGAGAAAGATTTCCATGTGAGATGAAAATTAAATAAAGAGGATAAGAGATAAATTAGATAGAACATAAATATATAATATAAAAGGTAGAGGAGGAAAAAAAAAAGGAAGAGAAAAAAGTAGTAGTTTTTTGATGATGATAATCAAATAAAAATTAGACAATAGAGAAAAAATGAGAATTTGATTAAATAAAATACAGAGAGATGTAATATATAGAAGTAAAGGAAAATATGATAAAAATTCTCACATAGACAAATATGTTGGCATGACAACATGTAAAATTAATTGCATAATATTATTTGTATTTTATTTTTTTATAACAAAAAATTTAATTAAATTTAATCTCTTAATTATTAATTAACATGATTATTTATATAATTAATAATTAACTAATTAAATATAATTTGAAGCTATTTGTTACCCAATACAAATATAGAAGGATAATAAAAATAATATAATAGAAAATACTATATAAATAATATATCATTGTTACTTTAACAATTTATTTTTCCTTCATTTTTCTACAGAATAAATAGTTGCATATTAACAAATAATTTAAAATTCAAGTTCAATGCAGGTAAGAAATAAATTAGATAAAATGTGTGACAATTTGAGAATAGTGAAAAAAGAAATGAAAAAAAGTAATACAGAGATATGAGAGTTCGATTAAATAGAATACAGAAAAATGTAATATATAGAAAGTAAAGGGAAAATATGATAAAAAATAGAAGTTTAAAGAGTTAGTTTAGAGAATTTGTCACATAAACAAATATGTCGACAATATAACATGTAAAATTAGTTTTATAATGACATGTCAATATGATAGAGTGTAACTCAACTTTTAAATTATAAATAGATTGATAAATTGACAATTCATTAGCATTAATTACTAAAAGCTTATACAAAATGCAAAGAATCTCAATATGAACATGTTAAAAATGTTGAATTTTGTACATATATAACTTTTTTTAAAAAAATACCCACATGGGACCCCAAGGTTTATTTCCCCAAATAAACCTGTTTACTATGCAGGTTCAAAATTCGATCCCTGGGGAGTCGAATTCTAACTTGCTATAGTGTGTTTTTGGCGTGACTTTGGCTATCGAAATTTAGTTCCTGGGAAGTCGAATTTCGAGTAGCTTTTCTTTTCAAAAAAAAAATGTAAAATTATAATTTATTAATTATATAATTAAAATATAAAATATTGTTATTATAATTAAAATAAATTTGTATATAAAATAATATATTAATAATGTATAGTTTTAATAATTTATAATTGTAATAATTTATTAGATTTATTTAAATATGTAAATTTTTGTTAATAATTTATAATATTAATATGCTAAATTAATAATTAACAAAATAAGGTAATTATTAATTTGGAAATTATACATTGAAGAAAATTAGTTGTAGGCTAAATAAATCAATGACGCCCTTGAACAATGTTTGAACATCTCTTCTTTGTGACCAGAGGTGTGACAATAAGAATAATGTTTTACACAACTTTGTTATTCTCTAATGTCCGTCTCTATTCTTATTCTACTTGACTTGGGTCAACCCTTGAAAGTTCTTTTAAATTTTGAATTTGGACACAAAATTAGGCCAATGTAAGTTGGCCAATAATTTGTGTCTCAGTTCCCAAATTGTCCTTCATATACCTTGGAGACTTGTTGTAAAGTATAGACGGGAGATATGTAGGTGTTAAAATTGTAGTGTGCGTGTAAGCATGTAGCAATAACATGCGAGCATGAGATGTAAACTTTTTGAAATTTTCACATCACATCTCATCTAACCTTATATATTATCTTAAGTAGCAAAGTTTAATTTATTTGTAGTTTTCATGAGCTCCATATCAAGGCTTGCAAACATTAATACCCATGCAAGTATATAGAGATGCCCAATTGTGGACTTCATGTACCCCCATCATTTGTTTTGCAATTTTTAAATTACACTAATCAGATAGAGTGAAATTACAGTTTCATCTTTTTCAAGATGTCCCTTCTCCACCCAATAATTTGAATGAAAATTGGGTTACAAGACATGCTCAATGGATCGACATATAAAATTATAAATGTGAACATACATTAATGGATCATCCAATGCAAGACTCATTATTTCACACATGAGAATATATGAAATGGTACTTGGTCAATTCCATCTATTTTCTATATGTGCCATGACTACTACAAGATCTTAAGACTCACCAACAATGAAGGACTATCACCACATTTGAAACCAGTGCGACTTCCATGACGTCGTATGAAGAGAGTCACCAGCATGTTTCAAATCCTCCACACAACATGATGCCACAAGAAAACATAATTGACAGAAAATATTTGTTTGCAACAACTTCAGAATATTTCTTTACAAACTTATTTGGAGTAGATTTTACAACTTCATCTTCAGTACAATCATACATGAAATTTCTTTACCAACCGGATTTTACTAATGAACCTGGTAGTTCCTCAGCTACATTCCAACAACCAGTCCTTAATGATGATTCAAATCCTGTAGAGCAACAACCACCACGATGTAACCTAGGACGTAACAGACATCGCACTCAAAGTGGAACTAAGTACCACTACCAAGATTAAATCTTATGTAATTCATTTTGTATTAATGTCATATTGTTATGAACTTTTATTTTTAATGCACTCTGTCTTCATCAATGTAATATTTAAGTTATTTTATTTTTAATAATTAAGTTATTTTATTTAAATAATAATTAACTTATTTTATTTAAATACTAATTAATTTATTTTATTCAAATAATAATTAAGTTATTTTATTTAAATAATAATTAAGTTATTTTATTTAAACAATAATTAACTTATTTATTTTATATAATAATTAACTTTTTATTTAAATAATAATTAATATATTATATTTAAATAATAATTAACATTTTTATTTTATATAATAATTAACTTTTTATTTAAATAATAATTAATATATTATATTTAAATAATAAATAACATACCAATATTAAAAATTATTAACACACATTTATATATATATATAAATATAATATTATTTATTATTTTACTTATAAATTTAATTTAATTTTAATGATAATATTTTTATTTTTTATTTTTATTTAACTTTAAATTCTTATTTTAAATAACAAATTCAATTTATATATATATAAATTGAGAACCGAATTCCGACAAGTCGCCGGCAATGGAGGAAATGCAGCTCAGCTACAATGATCAGTTCTAATTGTGTAAATGAAGGGGAGGGGGGCATTTGGGTATTTTTTTTCTAAAAAAAAATATTTTTTCAGTAAAAATTCTAAAAATGTTAATGGTGGACGGCGGTGGTCCTATTAATAATGGAGGTTGTGCCTTATTCTTATGCGTTTCGTACCTGCATGGGAAGAGCCTTGCTAAGTCAAGACAAAACTCAGATCACCCTCCAAATTCAAACCTTTTCTTTTAATTATAGGACTTGCTTCTCTTTAATCCCTGTCAATTCTTATCTTCAGTACGTGTTTGGTTTCACTTTCGATTTTCTGTTATCACGCTGAAATATCGCCCAAAATAATTTTAGATAAATGTAAATTTTTAGATGTTTAATTTCATGCAATGAGTTGATTGCACACTGAATTGAAGGAATTTTAGGTAACTTTTGTGTTACATCAAAATCTTTACAATCACTATTCACCATCCACTATATTAGTAGAGAGGAACACTGTGTAGGCTGTGTAGCACACAGTCCTGCGAATCATAGGGTTCAACCTTAGCTTCTTTGGCACACACCCTCCCCTCCCCTAGCCTATAAACACACTTGTTAAAAGATAGGCTACGCTGAGCCCCACCACGATTAATTCATTGTTTTCAAGCCTCTAATGAACCAACGACCTTAAGTTTTTTGGTTGGAAATTTCAGCTTATAATTATATTTGTCGACTTCAAAACTTGGAAGAAATTAATTAAAAACATAACAATAAATGTGAATTTTGTCACATAAGAGCCGACTGGTAAGAAAGAATTATCCTACTTTATCAAACAACCAGAAATGTGAATTTTGTAATCGTTAAAAACAGTGAACCGTGATTCGGTTGGTAACTATAGCAACCATGTAGGCCGACTTTACCCATAACATAATGCAAGGGTTTTTTGCTTAACGGAAATTTGCTCCACTTTCAAAAGGTGTGGAAACATCTAATACCCATGAGAAACACAAAAGGAAAGGAAAAATAATAATAATATCGAAGATGAAGATGAGAGATGACAAACCTCCAATCCAACTAAATTCAATTTCGGTATGCCCCACCCTTATATGCTCGACAGAGAGCGGGTGCACACTCGATTACAAGGGAGTTGTTACTCAAATGTTCAATTATTTCAAGCACCATATTAAATTTAAAGGTAATCACTTACCATTCCTATTAATCTCATTTATTGTCAAAAAAACATACAACTCGGTGATAAATATTTTTAGGACAATATTTAGCTAATTCTCTGTAGTCTCGGAAAAGTAATGTCTTATCATTTAAGTTATTACACTCACTAACTGCCAATCGCCATCAAAATCAATTTTGCATAAATAAGTATCAAGTAATAACAAATTGGCATTATTATTGTTAGAGTGGCATCACTATTCCTCCCCTAGTTCTTTTCCTACTTTATTGTTTTGAATATCCAGCCCCGGGTATATTTATTTTTCAACCAGTGACAGTATTGCATTGAATTTTTTTTAATATTTTTCGGCTTATGTTGGATAAAGGCTATTATAAATTTTAGTTAGATGTTACCCAATACCCATCTCATAAAGTACACTACGTAATTAGATACTATTTTTTTAGTGTAGAATCTTCCAACAAAACGGAAATATCCAGAATTGACAAAAGCCAGTGAAATAATCATGCGATGCGTCAGGAAAGGAAACCACAAGTTAAATTAAACCCCAGAATGGAGGATTAAGAGTGGCTATCAAAAGAAATACCGCATCTCAAACTGTCCTTCTATGAAAGAAGCAGAATTCTGTAGCTCACATTAGTCAAGTTCCATAAACCTACCTCACAAATATTTTACAATTTGGAAGACTGCCAATCTGGATTGCAAATTGATCCTCCTTCATGCTAACTGCAACAAACCAAGGGAAAATAGAGGCACAGTCAAAGATGCGAAGCATGCAAAGGGACTGTCACATAAATACGTGCTGAAAAATTCTAAGCACATCCAGAACTCTAACCTTATCGGGACACAAAGCCAACTATTTCTTCTTCTTAACACCACCAGCCTTGGCCTTTTTGTTGGTCTCTTTGGCCTTATTCTCTGGCGTTTCCTGTCCAAAAACAAAATTGTCAAAGCAAGGACCTTCTAAACCAGAAAAGTAATTTGTTCTCCGGTGCTTTGGCTGCTTTAGTATTTTGAGTTGCGCATCTTTAACATAAAAGCAGTAATTTGTTTGTTTAGTTACTATCAGCAGATATTTTGAGAGATGGTGCTTCATTGCTGCTCTTAGTGTAAACTGTAAAGAAAGGGGACAAACCCTTTACTTGGGCTTTGCCAAGTAGCCAACCTAAAATTCTGATCAGTATTTAAAGTAGCCACCTCAAGTACAAGTAGGATGCCAATTTATTTTTGCGACATAATACTATGTCATTCCAACTTTAATGCCCATGTCGGGCTTTATTATCAATACATCAATATAGATAATGATTATCAATATAAATATTATGTAATTCCTGATTTATTATCAATTCACCTTTGTTCAAATTAAAAATCTTAACCCCTCACTCACCCTACCGCCATGCAGGAGTGGGGCTTGGGCTTGGAACACCAATTGGGGCAGCTAATAATATATATCAAATGGATGGCCTGATATAATCAATATTCTTTTGGATAATAAAACATATTATTAGAGAGAAATGGTGAAAAACAGCAAAAAGGAAAAGGAAGATAAGACATCTCCTTAACAAAGACACAGCATAAAGGACATACAAACAAGATAAAACAAACTCTCCAGTCTCCACTTCTCTGCCTCTGCCTAATTAATTAGACCATGTTTCTGTATGAGAAAACCAATGAGACTTCATACAAATCTAAAATAGTGAAAGACAAGATTCACAAGCCCATGTGCTAAAGGAATTAAAAGTGAAGCCAAAATTAGTCAAAGAATTATTATGATACCAGAACAGATTGTAAAAGGCCATAATTTAAAATTCCACAAACTTATTGTAATCATGTTAACACTTATGTTGGTTAATAAAAGATAGACTATGCATAAGAACAGAATGACTTTGGAGGTTCACCAGGGCTATTCAGCTTCAGACACCAATAGCAGACACCTCTAGACAAAGGTACAGAGCTTGGAACCCATATTATATTTTGGCAAGCTCAACTTGCCAAAAACCGTGGGCCTTGACCAGTTAGAAGGTTGCAGAGAAAACATCTTATGCTCAATTGTTGGTTTGAAAGATCTAAGCATGCATTTGATTTCCTGTCATTAAGTGTAGCCAAAATTATCTAGCATGTCAACTGAAAGATTTCTTGTAATATGGGGAAAAAATTCCTATTTTTGGTTATTTTATCTGACTTGGAAGAAAAGGCATCCCATTATTACTAATGAAAAAAATATGGGAACAGAAAAGGAGCTGAAGAGCTCCAAATCCAAACTTGGGTGAAGATGATAGTAAAAATCATAGTAGTCAATCCCGGATAGCGGCGCGGAGCGGTCAACCCTAAAACTGGGATAGCGGGATGACGCGGAGCGGGATAACCGCTATTTTAATATTAATTTATATATATTAAATAATTAATAATATATATATATAAGCTAAAAAAACAAAAAAATAACTCTAAATTCATACATTAAACCTTTTTAATAATTAAAAGTTCATAGTACTCAAACAATACATAATATAAAATGTCTCCAAAACAAAGTAGAAAAGAAATTTTAAAAAATTGTTGAATTATATTTAATCAGAAAACAAATCTGATAAATTAAATTTAATCAAAAATTAAAAATACAATTTTCTGAAATTAAAAATAAAATTTTCTGAATTAAATTTAATCAGAAATTAAAAATAAAATCAGCTGAATTAAATTTAATCAGAAATTAAAAATAAAATTTACTGAATTAAATTTAATTAGAAATTAAAAATAAAATTTGCTGAATTAAATTTAATCAGAAACTAAAAATAAAATTTGTTGAATTAAATTTAATCAGAATTTAAAAATAAAATTTGTTGAATTAAATTTAATCAGAAATT